AAATTTTCTTCACAATAAATTTGCACCAACGTCGAGAAACAATTAGAACCACTTGCTACCAAGTGGGTAAGATATTTGAACCAAACAAAGCCAGTGCCTAACAATATAAAAAATGACAGCGATGCGAGAAGATTAAGAACTTGGGCTGAGAGAAAAAAAAGAAGAAGATGGTAACATGTGTGAGTTTTGTCCATTTTTGTATATTATATTTTGTATTTATATATAAAAAAAAAACTCAACCCGCGAACTGACCCGTTTGACCTACAAGTTGGCTCATTTTTTTCCGAGCTGACTCGGGTCGGGTTGGCAGCTCATTTTTGTCAACCCAACCCGGCTCATTTTTGACGGGTTACTAGCCAACCCGATCTTTTTGCCAACCATGACCACCACATCTAAAAACACATGCTTAATGAGATATTTGTCTTAGTGAATATAACAATTGAAAAGAGTTTCCGCAAATAAGTATGGGAAATGTTAGAGTTACTACTTTTTTTTCTTACTACTTGTTACTACCAAATCTTAACCGTTGATTTCTGGCAATCTAAAGGTTTTAATTTATTGGGTCACACTTATTAATTAATTATTAATTCTAATAAATTATAACCGTTAGATTGATGGAAATCAACGGTTAAGATTTAGTAGTAATAAGTAGTAAAAAAAAGTAGTAACTATAACCTCTCCCTATAAGGGCCCGTTTGGATGAGCTTTCAAAAAATGACTTTTTATGCATTGCTTTTTTTAAAAGATAAAGTTATTTTACGTTTGGATGTATGATCTCAAAATCACTTTTACATAAAAAAGTTGTTTGGATGTTAAAATAAAAAAAGCACTTTTTATATATAAAATTACAATAAATGAGAGATAAAATAGGTGGGATAAGGAGAGATAAAATAGATATGATAGGATAAGGTTAACATTGTATTTTAAAATTTTATATTATCTTTTTTTCAAAAAAAAATTTATATTATCTTTTAATTTCTGCTTTTTTCAAAAGCAACCAACTAATTGCTATAAAAAAAACAGCATTTTAACTTTTATTTTAAATTTTGCTTTTTTAAAAAGTTGTTATCCAAACATCTAAAAATTCTCGAAAGGACTTTTGTATTAAAAAGAAGTAACTTTTTTAGGAATAAAAGCTCATCCAAACAGGCACTAAGTATAGTATTTCCAATTATAACTTAGTATGGAGAAACTTTTATGGTTTTAAATATAACCGTTGGATCAACATAATCGATCTAACGGTAAAATTGATTGGTAGTAACATTGGTAGTAACACTAATTGGTTGTTACAATATCATTTCCCTTAAATGAATAATGTTAAAATTAGGGGTGTTCATCAATCGAATAAACCGAAAATCGAAAAAAATACCCGCAAATTTTAATTAGATTGGATCGATTTTTAGATTGGTTAATGAAAATCAATTCAATCCAAACCGATCCAATATATTAATTTCCCTCTATCTACTTAGGCGTTTCCCTACTCATCGCCCAAAAATTTCTAAACCCAAGACCTATTAACCCATCAACTAAATCCAAGAAAAAACTTAGTCACATCTTATCAACAAAATTTCATCTGTGTAGAGCTTTATATCTCATTGTCCAAAAAAAAACTATACTATCATTTACTGATGCTTTTGTATTTCAAAAAAAATAAATTTACAAAGCCAATATATACAAAAAATGTTATTTGCACAATAATTATGAAACAAATTTTAAGATTTTCAAAAAACCAAAAATCGAACTAATCCAAACCCAAAAAAATTGGATTGAATCAGATCGGATCGGATTTGAAAAAAAAATCTAAATCGAATGAATGATTACATGATCAAACCGAAAGAATTGGATCAGATGATTTTTACTTCCAAAACTGATTCAATCTAAACCGCGAACACCCCTAGTTAAAATCATAATACAACATCACAAATATATAATCATTCTGCAAGACATTTTCATAAAATAAATTTTTTAATCTAATAGAGCTCTATATCTTGCAATGGTATCCTCGTGCCTTCTTTTATATAAGGGGTGTTTGGTAGAAGGTGAAAAAAATATTTCCTAAAAAAATAGGGTAGAGAAAATTATTTACCTATATTTAATAGGAGATGAAGTAAAAGTATGGTTGGAAAAAAAAATTCCCATCATTTGTTTTTCTTCATAAAATGGTTATGGAAGATTACCATTGATGGGGTGGAATTGTTTTTTCCCATGTGGTGAGAAAATTAACACACAACATCAGTAAAATTAACCCAACATTCTCAGAAAAATTTGACCTACCAAACACCTTTTAGTAACTTATCCGGGAAAAAAAAATTCCATCATATTTCTGAAAATTATTTCTTCTCGTAAAAAAAATTTCTCCTCTACCAAACGCCCCATACGGAAACAAATTCCTTGATCTAAAAAATATAATTTCACCAAATGGTGGTAGCTCAGTTGGCGCAAGGGAGCTGAGTAGGTGGAGGTGAGAGCATGTGTTCGAATCTCCCCAGTACCACCTTTGGGAGGGGTTTAAAGCCTTAATCATGGACCAGCCCCGAATCGAATTTCTTGTGAAGCAATGAACCGATTGAAATATTTAAAAAAAAAAAAAAAACATCATTTCTCGACCGTGTATATGTTTGGATTACCTCTCACGGGGAATCCCACAAATTTTTAGGCACACAATATGTGTGGATACCTCCGAAGAGATCCCATGATTATTTTTTGAAAAATATAATTCAAAACATATCATTTCTTTAATTTTAATATCACAATAAAGTAATAAAAGTTTAACGGCTGCAAATCTTAATATATATGAGTTACAGAAAAATTTATTATATAAAATTTACCAAATAAAATTTTCATGAATTATTTTTTAAGATAAAAATATAGACATAATATATAAATATAAAAAACATGGAAAAAAGCAAATCAACTGAATATATAATATACGATAGTATTCTTTCTTTTTTTGAAATATTCCAATCAGTTTATTACTTCGCAACTAATTCGATTCGGGGCAAGTCTAGGATTAAGGCTTTAAACTCCTCTCAAAGGTGGTACTGGAGAATATACGATAGTATTCACATATGTTATTGTACAAAAATACAGTAATTTCAAATTTCAAGTTTTTAAGTTTGTTGAAATATAAATTACAATATACATACTTAAATTCCAAAATTTATAAATTATAAAATTATAATTTGCATAAATATAGATTGCTGCGGAATATGGTATCCTATCGAGACATCTAAGAGAAAAAATAGGAATAATAAAATGATAGTATCATGGGATTTATATTTTAAAAGAAAAAAAAGGTTATCCTTATTTTAGTATTTACTTTTATATTTCCTTGATGACAAAACTTCTTTACTCTCAATTTATTATTATTTTTTCTCTCCTTTTCCCTTAATAAGTTTTTTCCACAATTTTCAAGACCCCTCCGTCTCTCTCTCTCTCTCTCTTATTTCTTTTAATTTTTTTCTTTGAAGCAATTGAACTTGTTAAGAGGGTGAGTAGACTGACGAATCCATTAAAGGGTGAAGTAGATCGATGTAACAATGACTAAGTGAGGCAGCATACGAACTACAGCTCAAAGGTGTTCATCATGAAGGTCTTAGGCAAGTTGAGGATAAAGGGAAGGTAGTGAAGGCTCGGTTATGTTTAAAATGGTGATTTCAACAGAGTTTCACTATGGGAGTAATGGTGAATGAAGATGATTCCTCAAAGATGAAAAGAGGGTATATATAGCATGGGAAAGACTCTTAAACACGAAAAGTGCGTTATCATAACTGTTCTCACATAGCTGTGAGGCATGTATGGGAATAAAGGTATAAATAGGCTGTACTGAGCTGAGCCTTGTCTTAAAGAGATCAGATTTGTATAAAATATTTTAAGTTTGATTTGATCTATTAATCTTGTATAGGTCTAAATTATAAGTTTAATCTGTCTTATATTTAAAAAAATAAAAGTCTAGGTATAAACCTGTTAGTATGTTGAAGCCTATTAGGCATTCAATAATTAAAATAATATTATTTTATTAAACAAATTTTTTTAAAATAATAACTTATTTATTTTAAAAAATAAATAATATAATATAAGACAACTTGTAGGTTTATAAGTCCAATATGCAAAAGAAAGCCTATAACTTGCTTTCTAAATAGACTTTTTTGAGATGTGAACCTATTATATTTGATTACATGTAATAAAATGAGAGTGACCTGATACAAATTGAGCCGTAAACCCTTATTAAGCTGACGGACTCATTTACACCCCCAACAGTAGTAAGGAAGAATAAGATATAAAAGAATTATTTGCCCTCATGTGAATTAGTGAGCTGGCTATCAGAAGGCCTAAGCAGACCTATCTGATCGTGAACCATTTACCTTTATTTATAGGAATTTTTTTTATGTGAATAATTCTTCTATTTGGAATTTAGACTAAATCCACATAAAGAAATTTCATCGAATATAAAGATGAAAGAGAGAAATTTTATTCAAGATATAAAAATGATTTTTATATTATATTATTATTGATTCTGGATATTATTTAATTATTCAAATATAGTATTACGACAACAGTCTCTTTCTTACAATATCTGCTCCTGCCGTTGTTTGTCAAAACTAGGCCCTGAACGATTAACAAATCAAGCGATCAAGTCCATTATTGAAATATGAGATGCCATCTAAATAATAAGATAAGAAAAAGGAGTACTCCTCTACTTATTTTCATGGCTAATTAAACTCCAAACAATATACTATAATATGCATGCAATTTCAACCTATATCATTTTATGTATAAAAGTCTAAAAAGGTGGAATGGTACAAGGCAGGAAGTAAGGACTACAGACACTGTGTGTCTAAATGGACATGGCCTAGTAACTTGAATATTTAGCACGGAATTAGCATATGCAAAATTCAACCAAGATGGTTAAGAAGCACTACATCCCTTAACTGCAATGATCCCAAACTTCCAGAGCCGACACCGCATGGCCCATATAGAGCATTAATAGTGTGCGGGCTTTAGTTGCCGAATATATCTAGAGGTATTGATGGAGGACAATATTCCTTTGCCACAAACTTGAACTGAATGCATCCATAAGCATGAAAGAACATGAAATTAATTAGCAAATCGTAAACATCATACTTGGCGATATAAGTCAACAACAATTAAAAAACGGAAGTATTTAGAAATGAACAAAAAGATTACCCCAAATACAAGTAAATTGTTAAAAATTACAACTTAATTGACCCCTTCCAGAGTAGCAGACAGATGCTATAAGATGAGCGGGGCGGGGAAGGATGCCAAATGACCGTGAAATTGAAACAGAAACTCAAGAAACAACATCCCTCGTTTTGAGTGGATGAGATTCGTAACTGCTGACTAGAGATCATAACCAGGTAGAATCGATCTGGTTTCTATATGGATAACCCCTTCAGACCTTTTAATATCACTCGCATATGAATGAAACTAAGCCTCTAGAGGTATAGATCATCATTATATATGAAGTTTGCACGCATTGCAAACTTAATATAATCAAGTTAGATTCTGGCTTAACAGATCCTAGGAAATTCAAATGATTAATTTTTTAATACAATAAACGAAATCCATGTTATTAACAATTCCCGTTAATTCTCGCTAGGATTATTACTTAATTAATTATTTTATATAAATTAGAGGAGAGCTAGTTTGAAGGAACTAAAAATGGTTGACTGCTTTAAGTCACCCGATTTTACAAAGCTAATACACAAGAGAGCAAGACAAGGGTATTCTCACCTTATGCTGACTGTATTTCTCCCTGATAGCGGGTAAATCATGACAGCCATCGCAGCACAACAAATGCAATCCCTTGACACATTCACACAATTCTGATGCTTGGTAACCGGTGTAATGCCTTAGCGTAGAATTCTATACCAAAACATATACATAGTTGCACAGCATCACTATATATAACTATCAAAAAAAAAATATTCCTCAGTAAAATTAATCTCTTCCTGTAATACATACCCAAGGTTTCTTCCTCGGAAGCAGTATGTATATAGCCAAGAAAGTGGCTGACGCAGCAATTAACGATGGGGAGTACTTAAGCATGCCATACTCTATAAGAGATAACTCTGCGAGATAGTCTGCCAAATACTCCAACTGCATCAATGGAACCTAAAAATAGTATAAGGTAGCAACCAGTAAGGGTCATGACTATATCCAGACTCTTGAGATATAAAAAATAATCTCAATCAAAATGCATACCTCACAGGTACGTTTGGCAACAATAATGAAGCGCCTGCATTGGCATGATTACAAGTCAATACTAGGGCAACCGATTTCTACTTGCACTTGCCAATAATAAGATGAAAACTAGTCATTACCTTAAAAAACATCTGGCTGTTGGAGCTGTAATTTCAAACTTTAAGAAATTAAGCACAGCAGATTCCATCTGAAACACCTGCAGTAATTTCATACGTATATTTTTTAGGAGAATAAGGCAACTAAAAAGTGAAAAGACATCCATAGCTGCATGTATGAATCAATAGATAACAAAATACAAACCTGCTCCTTAGAATATGTATTATCAGTTATATAACAGAACTCTTCCACCTTAGGGGCACAGATCTCCTCGTATTTGCTGGCAAAATCAAACTAATGTTATGCTTATAGTTATGGGATTGCCGGATAGGCATACAAACGCATGACAGAGGACAGAAGAGAATAAGAAACATGCATGTAAACTCACAAATTAAGCACATATTGCTCAACAAACAATCATTAAGAGATAAGAAACCTACGCAGCAATCAGCATGCAGGCAACACCAAGTAATTGTAATCGCTGCCTATGCATTGCATTTCCAGAAAGATAGCGATCAATGTAATTAACTGTCAAAAATAGCGTGTCAGGTAGAAGCCTGTACTCTTCGGCAACCTACAATTTAAAGACAAATTAAGGTGAAAAACATTGAATATAGGAACTTAATGAAATAGCACGAAGATAGAATTAGAATATTGACATTTTAAATTTTCTAATGAAACAGAAAGGCCCACTAATCATGATATAACAAGACTCATCATAAATTGTAATGTAATAAAAAATCTGAAAAATGGGGTCAAAAAGAGGAAGAAAATCCCTGGAACCATATATCACCCTGGCAATACCGTCACCCACCATAGTTTACCTCCACAAGCCAATCAATGAGTATGGCCCTCATGATAGGATAGAGGTCTTTCTGTATCCTCTCCATATAGTCCATAGACGGCCTTTTAATTTCCTAAAACCAGAAAATAGACCAAAACAAAAGATGAAGAGAAATAGAGAGAAAGTATACAAGTTCTAAACCACAAGCATAATTAAAGATGTAATACGGTAGGTAACTCTGTGCTTGAAACTTCCAAAAGCTATATCTCCTTAAAATAACAAATCAAAATTAACAGTAGACCTTTAGGTGGGACCAAATCACTCTCATAAGGTACTCAGAAAATTCAATCGCAAATTTTATCCATTATTTTGCACTCCAAAGTCAAATTCACATTCTTAACAATTGTGAGAAGGTAAAAGAAAGGAGAAGAAAATAAAATGATGCATTCATACTTTATCACTCTAAACGCTACAGAGTATACCTCTTGACGTGAATATGACTTTTACAATTACACCAGATTTTTCTCATTAATATTTAGACAAAGGTTGAATTAAAATAATCAAAATGATTGTACAAGTGAAATAGACAAACATAGTTTTAGAAGTAATTGAATTTGATTTTCAAGCTTAGAACGAATTGACATGTCAGATATTTTGTGAGATAAAACATCCTACAATGCTAAGCTACAATGCTACATACATTAACATGTATTGCTTCAAGAAGCTGAAATGTTCCGATAACTTACATTTACTGTATTCATTATCGATAAATGGAACACAAAGTCATGAACGGGAAATTTCTAAACATATTAGACACATCATATTAAAACAACTGCTACTCTGGTAGCAAAAACCTTGAGAATTGCAACAGGAGATTAAAACAGTAAAATAGATGAAAATGACAAACCTCAGATTTACGCAAACATTCATAGATTTCATGGGCAAATAGTGCACAGGATTGTGGGTCCTTGACATTGTAGTCAATATCCACAACTTCATTTGCTTCTATCTTCTTGATAGTATCACTACCACATATTCTCCCTGAAATCAATTTGGCGGGGGATGCATGTGAACGGCAGTAAAAAAAGTATTCCAGATTATAACTTGTAATTATTGAAAAAAGTATAATCCAAATTAGCCAAAGCATAGGGAGAGGGAGAAAGCAAGACTGAGCCTTTAATAAATGAACCTGCTAGTAATGAAGAGTCTGAAACATTGAGTGTGCTACATGTCTTATTATCAATTGATTTGGTCAATACGAGATCATCACTGTCAATATAATCGAATTCCGGGGTCTTCAAAGAATCACTGGTTGACATGCTCTCATCCAGTGAAACTGAACCGCTAAAGGATTTACTTGGAGAAATGACCCCAATATTCAAATCAGGACACACAGCAACATCAGTGCTTGGAGCAGGGAAGGCTCCAACTCCAGCCTTAGGTTGACTACTTCTGGTTGAACATGCGTCTTTGGAAAGTACCAACTCACTTGATTTTATGCTCAATGAGGCTTTCAAAGTCTTCCCGGTCATAACTTTTTTCTGCGAACTGGCAATAGAATCCTTCGTCTTGGCAGTCTTTGACACACATGGAACCTTCAAATAACAGTAACAGTTTGTTAAAGTACAGAAATCAAACATATGTATACCCCAGTTCTTGGCAGGCATGAACGATACTAAGTTACTAACCCACTTAAACAAAATTAATTAAAAGTCGCCCTGGTAATATAAAGCTCTAGCTGTGTGCAGGGTCAGGGAAGGGTCAGTGTGTGGGTCTATGTGGTAAAACAACTGACAACAACACCAACCGTTGTGCCAAAGATCCCCTTTGCAGTGTATAGTTTATTGACAAAAAGTTTGACATTTAAGGAATATGTGGTAAAGCCTGATGTATTAAATCAAATAATCCCCAGTGAATGCCAAGTCTTCCGATAAAAAAAAAAGAGAGAGGTGAGGCTCTCTATAAATTGAATCAAACTTGTTATTACATCATTCTCATGCTTCAACAACACAACTTTAAGATGCATGTGATGCATTATTATGCGACGTTGTTCATCACCCAAAACCAACTCTGCCACCACTCACCACCCAGTCATTCTTATACACATGCACAAATTCACTAAGACCAGTACCAATAAAAAGAAGCAAATGTAATCACCATTACATCAACACCAATCAGAACACGAACTTAAAATTACCGATAAACAAAAGCCACTAATAAAAAAGAAGAAGAAGAAGAAACCAGTTAACAATACCAAAGGGTTGGATGGAGCAGAAATGGAGGTCTTTGCACCGGCGAGAGAGGCATTTCTGTTATTGCTTACGTCGGCGAGAGGGGTACGCTTCTTTGTCAAATGGGTCTTCACGGTATTGACCTTCTTGCTTGAATTTTCTGAAACGGAGGACCTCTTCTCAGAGGACGAAGAAGAAGACCGCAAATGCCGGTTTCGGGTAAACATTTCGTTCTTAGAAAACAAGAACCCTAATCGCTGCAATGCAAGAAACGCCAAATATTGCAATTCAGTTTCTTTCACAAAAAGAAGTAAAGAACCGCATAAACAGAGAAAAGATGTCACTGAGTTTGGTCCGAAAAGGAGGAAATAGCGAGAAGAAAAACGAACCTAGTGCGTGATGGATGATTGAGAAAGACGAACCTAGGTTTTCAAATTGTAGGAAAAGAAACCCTTTCAGAGGATCTTTATTTCGCAAGCGAAACACGCAGAGGAAGGAAGTTTAAGTCTGGATATTTGTCTGTGAAAGCGCGAAATGTGCCTGTTTAGATGAACAATCATGGCCGTTGATTGGAATCAAGAAGAGATCTTGACCGTCCACTGCTCGCATGAATTGTTAACGTATTCATGTATGATGTGATGTATTCATGTATGATTAAATTGAAAATCAAATTCCCACTATCAATGAGAGCTTTAATAGTCATAGACTAATGTAGTATAAACTGAAACGGTACAGTAAGATGTTTGAACGTTTAATTTTAGAATAAATATTTTTGAAGATGTTTGTTTGTATATAGATTTTTATGTTATGATTGAATTACCTTAAATAATAACTTTAATCTTTCAGTCTCTATTGTTTTGTATAGAATAATCTTTCTCTCTCTATTAGGAATAAAAATTAAGGACGAATTTTAAAAATCTCCTATGATATTGCTTTGAATTACTTATACTCTTATACTTTTTTTTAATCATTTAATCCATTATGATTTTTTTCATCGACACCCTACTTTTTTTTTTTTTTTTGGTATCCTATCCACACCCTACTTAACATAACTTAACTAAGTATACATATTTTACATTTTTTAGAAGAAGTAAATAATGTGATAAAAAAGAAAAAAATAAGGTCAGATGTTATGAAAACTTAGAACACTTAATAAAAGACTAAAAAAAATAATAGAAAAAAATCAAATGTGTCTAAATAAAAAAATACAATAAATAAATTCAAATATGTTAAAAATCATAACGGAACATGAAAATAGAAAAAAAAAATTAAGATAAAAAAAAAAAACAAAAAGAAATCACAATTATGAGTTTTCAATGTATTTGGTTTTATTTTGTTTCTTTTTTGTCCTTGATCTATTTTATTCTTTTTTATTTAGATATGTTTGGTCTTTTTTTTTTAATTTTTCACATTTTGGTCTATTTTATTCTGATTTTTCTCTCTCTCTCTCTTTTTTAGCCTTGTGCCATCTCATCTACTAAAGATTTTTGTAAAAAAATTTAAAACAAAAAGAGAGAATAAAATAGAGGTATAAAAAAGATCAAACATATGTAAATAAAAAGAATAAAATAGAGCAAGGATAAAATAGAAAAAAAATAAAACAAAATATATTGAAAATTCATAACTGTGGTTTCTTTTTGTTCTTTGTTTTTATTTTATTTTTTATCTTAATTTTTCTTCTATTTTTTTGTATTCAATATATATATATATTTTTATTTAGACATTTTTTTTTGGTTTTTCTTTTTTGTCACTGTTGTGATTTTTAACATGTTTGGTCTTATTTTTTCTTCTAATTTTTTTCCCTTATTCTATTTTTTTTATTTAGACACATTTGATCTTTTTTCTTTTAGTCTTTTATTAAGTATTTTAAGTTTTCATAACATTTGATTTTATTTTTTTATTTTTTTCTCACTTTATTTTCTTCTTCTAAGAAGGGTAAAATAAATATATTTAGTTAAATTTCTAACAGTGTTAAAAAAGGGGGTGGATGGAAAAAATTATAGGGGATAAAGTGATTAAAAAAAAGTATAGAGGTGTAAGTGATTCAAAGTAATAGCACATGGTTTTTTTGAACTTTTCCCAAAAATTAACAATTGCATTTAAAAAAAAAGTATTGAACTAATGTCAAATTCAACTATTTTACCGGATTAATTCACATATAGCGGGTGCACAATTAGTAGCGCACGAGATTGATACATAAATGATCTATGGCAACCCATGGCGAGTTGCGCATGAGCCTTGTGCATTATTTGTTGTGTTTTATATAAACCAAAACCAATCCCACATCCCTTATTTGACACCATCTATCACCTCTCTAAAACATCTCTCTATGACATTTCTCAAGTAAGTCCTTCAACCCTCTATTTAAATTTTTCAATAGGTTTGCGGAATATGGCAATGATCATTATATAGAATAAGATAGTAATAGTAATTTTAGAATAAGATAGTGATAATCATGTAAAATAGGATAGTGATTAATATATGTAGGCTAAGCCTAACATAAATGTTACAATAACTACAAGCCCATTTACTAGTTAAGGCAATTGTCTTTTTTTCCCTTATTTACTATTAAACCACAATATGTGTAGGCTGAGGTTCGAACCTATGACTTTATGCAAACTATCCAAACCCCTCACTATTAGACCAATCCTAATAACTTATGCACTTGTCTTAATTTTTCAGTTCCATTGCCTTAACCTTCCACGGGCACCATATTCATGATTGCAACATTTCATTACCAATTTAGCAGCTGTACTCTCAACCACTATCGCTTCATGATGGACCTTTATGTAGTAAAGCTTGATTGCCATCTGCATGTCTTTTTTTGGACTTAAATTCTCGCTTAACAAATAATTCATTTTCTAATTGTTAGGGACCCTACTACAATTGTCCCTCAATATCACCCCTTATAATGATCAGAGGAAAAATGGAAGCAGAATGAGAGGGGACGCAATGGTCTTGCTAGATTACATCGAATGGTTACATTACATGCCTAATTGCCCTCCATATATAATAGGACTTCTACTACACAACGACAGTAATACACAGTGGGCACTCCTGAAGCAATTTCTAAATAATATAATATGTTTTTATATTCCTTAACAGATGTAAATATGACTATCATAAACCCATAAGTCCAGTTTTCCCTGAAATATTCTAATAAGTACTCATATGACTGATAAGCAATTTTGAATTATCAATCATATGAAGTGCTTTGAATATGTGTTTTGATTACCTTTCAAAAATTTAATATTTGAATACCTAGATTGGTAAAGGGCTTCCCATATAGTGATTCAGGGACAACTTTCAACAGAAAAAATAAAAATGAAATTATACTTAGAACTCTTGAAGCATGTGTCAAATTGAATGAGACCACACAACAACAACGCAATAAATGATAAAATATAGACATACCATAATTTCCAATTTCAAAGTCCAACAAAGAATACATTTTTTACAACTTCAACAATTTCCTCAAAGAACCAACAGGATCAAGCACCATCTCAAGTAGCAACTCTTTGTGTTTGTCTAGAGGACAGCCAATCACTGTTCTAATCCTCTCAGGATTATCGAGAAGATAAAGACATGCACAGGTGAACACTTGCCTCTCAATCTTCAAATCCTCCAAAAATTTCCAAATTTCAGTTTCTGGAATTGGAAGTTTATGCTGAACTTTCTCATAAATAGTTGTATTCTCTCTTAGAGCTGCATTACCTAGAGATCAAAATTGACAATAGAATCATATATTGGGCAAACTCAAAACTGAACGAGGATAGTGAGATTGGAGAGAAAATATTTTCTTGGGAACCAAATAGAAATAGGAAAGTTAAAGAGTATATTTACCTTGTGCGAATGGTTCGAAGAGATATGGCTCGAAGAGGAAGAGAAAATTGGAGACAAAGAGATGGGTGGGGTTTTCGGTGGTTGTTTTTGGTGACAAGATGAGGAGAAAGAGGTGGAGCTCTTGGAAGAGTAGAAAAAGGAAGTCACAACAAAAGAGAGGTGGAAGCCAGCGTCTGTGGCGACGGCGAAGAGGCTTGGATTAGGAGGAGTGACGCGGGGAGAAAGAGAGAGAATGTGTGTTTTGATTTTAATGGGAATGGTAAATAAGTAAATTTGAATAGTTTACCTCTTAAAATTCTCGGAAACGAGGAAACTTTAATTTTAAGAACAAGAATGGCTTTCAAGGATTTTTAAAAAACCCCAATTCCTTTTCCTCACTTTTTTAAACCCATAATAAAACTCTTCACTTTCTTTCCCTTCTAAAATCAACTCTCAAAGAAAGCCTTAGGTTCAACATATACCATGCGGCAACATCCTAGTACTTGTGTTACTAGTTGCTCATGTGATATATGCACAATTCTCAAGATTTAGTCATGTAATAAAGTCAAGTGACAATTGCGCATTAAGGATGTACACAACTATGACTGCATTAGTCTGATAAAATATTTAAAAATTACATGAAACATATAAGTTTTAAAAAATTTATAATCAATAGGTTCTTTCACAAGAATTTGGGGTTTGGGCTTCCGTTATTTTATTTTTTAAATATTTTTTAGTTAAATTTGTTAGACATGTTAAGTTTTGAGTTAAGTTGCAATTCTCAAATGCAAATATTGAGAATCATTATAGGATTTTTAAATGTATTTTGAGAAGAGGCACACGATATGATTTACGTTATAAAACTGTATATATTTGCCTTCGGTGTGAAATATTCTTAGTCATTTCTATGCTTTACATAAGATGCAGATCGTGATTAGTTCAAAATGTAAATTATATTTATTTATTAATCATTTTATATTTGATGTATTTTTTTTCATTTTGTCAGTATTGTTATGCTTTTTAACGCATTTTCTTTTCATTATAGTAAAGGTATCTATTTATACACTACTAAAAATGGTATTTTTTTCGACGGAAAAATTCTGTAAAAAATGAAGCTTGCGACGAAATTATCGACGGAAATGAAGCCGTCGAGCTATGAAACACGGACACGTGTTTTTTGTGAAAAAATGTGTCCGACACGTGTCGGACACGGACACGTTCGGACATGCGTCCGACACGTGGTCAACTTTTTGGGACACGTTGACTTGGGGGACACGCGTGTTTGACCGAATCCGACACGTAGTCAACGTATTTGGACACGTTTTGCATTTTTTTGTAAAAAATAAATAAAATTACAATTAAAAAAAATAAAAAATATTTAATAAAAATCAAAAATGAACCCTATCCTCTGAATCTCTGATCCTCTCTCGCGCTGGAGAGTGGAGGCTGCTGGTCGCCGCCTGGTCCTTCTCTTTTTTCGTCGTCGGTCGTCGTCTCTGGTCGTTGGTCGTCGTCTACATCTCCGGTAAGACTCTTTCCATTCTCTTTCGATTCTCTCCTTTTTGATTATCAGTCAATGGGACCTTGTAGTGAATTAAGTTCTGCTCACAATGGAACTTGATACTCTAGATGGTTTCTTTAATATTTCCGTAGTGTTCAATAGTCGAGAGTAATAGATGGTTTCTCTTTATTTAAATAGAATATATAAGCAGCTGTTACATTCGAGTAAGCATAGCAAAGAGAGAAAGGGGGATCTGTTACATTCGACACTTTCAGAATATATCTATAAATGTGAACGAAATCATCCCTAATTGAATGAATGACACTACTAACAAAGTTAAAAATTATATAGGGCATTTGACCAAGCAAAACTTCTATTCTCCATTAATACATGAAACGAACACAGCACAAAGATGGAAGAAGAGCTTGAGTGAAAATCAAAATACACTTGCTTAATTATCTCCACCTGCAAAATATAAAGAGAAATCTCAGTTTTCTCTTTAAAAGGCTAACTTATCTCATCTTATACTTAATTACAATATTGTGATTTAAGCATCATTTCAAACAAATTGTCAATGAAACCATATATAAGCAGCAGCTGGAATATCTTATGTTGGCTACTTGTGTAGGAATCCTAAGTTGGTCTTCATTAAATTCATACAAATCTTTAGTTGATTGAACAACTAAGTAGTAGAAATAAGCAAAGAATGTGGTTGATGAGGCTATCGGTTCCCTTGTTTATTTATAAGCTATCTGATATATTATGTTTATGAGTTGTGAAGTTAGTTTACCTAAAATCCTTGATTACCAATTATTTATTTGTTCAGGTTTCTATGTTATTATATTATAACCAAGGAGGTATTCTAAATGCCTGCTAATCTGTTCATGTTTCTTTGTTATTATAGTATTGTTTAGAACAGAAGAGGATGCATACTTTCATGCATATAGGAAATGTAAGCTGTAAAAAAGTGCCTTTTTTTGTTGCACTTTCCTTTTAATCATTAGATTTGATCCTTTTTATTTCATTCTTTTTTCTTTCAACCATGTTAATCCAACTCCCTCAGACCTACGAACTACTTTAGTTTTACTTTTTCCCGATTCTAATGATTAGTCATAAAGTACAGTAACCCCACTGATATGATAAAGTGTTCTTTGTCCCTTCACAAGTAATTTAGTGCTCTGTTTTATACACTAAATTAGTCATAAAGGGTTCTGTTCTACTTGCATCAAGTAATTTAGTGCTCTGTTTTATATACTAAATCAATCTCACTAATTTTATTTTTGTTTAACACATTTATAGAATTACAAGATGGATCATTCGAGTTCTGCCTCTGCCAGTGCAAGTAATAGTGCCACTGCTGCTACCGGTGCTTCTGATGTCAATGAATTACTAGATAAACCCTTATGGAAATATGTTACCAAAATAGATGCTATAGTGGAAGGAGGAGGAAATTTATCTTGGATGTACAACTTTTGTAAAAAAGATTTTAAAAGTTCATATACTAGAGTGAGGGCTCATTTGTTGAAACTATCAGGCAAAGAAATTGGGAAATGCTTAATGGTGCAAAATAGAGATCTGATAGAGATGGAGAAATTAGAAAAAGAAACTGACCAGAGAAAGCAATCCAATGCACCCAGAAATGTACCTTTACCTCCTTCTAGCTCTTCCACGTGCCCAAAAACAAGAAAAACTACAGGTTCTCTTGAGATGACATTTAATGTTGGGGAGCGAGAAGAATTAAATTACCTGATTGCTAGAATGTTTTATTCAGCAGGATCGCCATTTAATTTGGCAAAGAACCTTACTTCCAAGCTTCGTATACTTATGCAGCAAATCATAATATTGGAGGTTATTTGCCACCGGGATATAACTCACTGCGAACCACTTTGTTGCAAAAGGAGAAAGAAAATATTGATAAGTTGTGTGAACCTATTCGAGAGGCTTGGACTCATAAAGGGGTGAGTATTGTAAGTGATGGGTGGAGTGATTCACAAAGGAGGCCACTCATTAATTTCATGGCAGTATCTGATGGTAAAGCAATGTTTTTAAAATCAGTTGATTGCTCAGGGGAGATTAAGGATAAGAATTTCATTTTCAGGTTATTTGTTTGAACTTTTGTATTCTATTTAAGTGTTTATTTGCTCGAGGGAGACTAATGATAAAAATCTCATTTTCAGGTTGCTAAAGGAAGTTATTCAAGAAGTAGGAGAGACGAATGTGGTTCAAGTAATCACAGATAATGCTGCAAATTGTAAGGGAGCAGGGCAATTGATTGAGCAGGAATTCTCATCTATTACCTGGACACCGTGTGTCGTTCACACATTGAATTTGACTGTGAAAAATATTTGTGCTGCAAAGAATGTGGAGAGCAATCAAATAACGTATGAGGAATGCAGCTGGATTTCTAATATTGTAGGTGATGTTGTTGCAATAAAGCATTTCATTATGAATCATTCTATGAGATTGGCCATCTTTAATGAGTTTGTGAGTTTGAAGTTGCTTTCTATTGCTGATACTCGTTTTGCTTCAATGATTGTGATGCTGAAGAGGTTCAATTTAATAAAGAGTGGTCTCCAAAATATGGTGATAAGTGAAAAATGGAATATTTATAGAGATGATAATCTTGGGAGAGCCAGACATGTGAAGGAAAAATTATTGGATGATTGTTTTTGGGATTCAGTTGATTACATACTTGCCTTCACTGCTCCTATTTATGATATGATCAGAGCTTGTGACACTGATAGAGCTTGTCTTCACTTGATATATGATATGTGGGATACAATGATTGTGAAAGTGGAGAAAGCTAATACCATAAAGAGGGGAGGAGGATGGAAAAGAGCTCCTCTTTTTATGATGTGGTGCATTGCATTCTTGTGGATCGTTGGACAAAAAACTCAACTCCACTACACTATTTGGCACATACTTTGAATTCCAAGTAAGTTTTTAAATATGATTTAGTTTAAAATTAATACTCCTCTTGATATAATTTGACAACTTGTTGATTTTTTTTGCTTCTCTTTTAGATACTATAGTCAACAATGGCTTCAGGAAGATTCTAGTCGAGTTCCTCCACACATGGATTTAGAGCTTACTCAAGAGCGACAAAAATGTTTAAGGAGATTCTTTCCTAGCATGGAGGACCGAAGCCGGATTAGTTTGGAGTATGCGGATTTTATTAGCAATAGTGGAACCTTTGGCGATTTTGATGCCATCAATAGTACTCAATACACTATGGATCCAAAATCTTGGTGGCTACTTTATGGTACCTTTACACCGATGCTTCAAAAAATAGCATTGAGACTTGTGCAACAACCCTCCTCTTCATCATGTGCTGAACGCAATTGAAGTACTTATTCTTTTGTGCATTCCATCAAGAGGAATAAAATCACTCCAAAACATGCTGAAGACTTGGTTTATGTGCATAGCAATCTTCGACTCTTATCAAGAAAGACTCCTAGTTATGCACAAGGAGCAAATCAAATGTGGGATATTGCTGGAGATACATTCGATTCACTTGATGATATTGGAGATCTTCAATTTGCTAGCCTTTCACTTGATGAGCCAGAGATAGAGGCCATGATTATTCAAGATGGAGATGAAAATAATTGAACTGTGAGTAATCATAAGTAAAATAAATTTTTTATTTTTTCTACACTCTACACTCTTTGGATGTTCTATTTTTTTTAATATTTATGTTAGGAAATTTAAATATTTGATTGGTTATATGACTTATTATGGACTCTTATATGTATTAAATATAAATTATATTATATATATTAAATATTTTATTTAATATCAAAACGTGTCCCAACGTGTCGGAATTTAGTATTTTTTAGAATTAACGTGTCAGCGTGTCGTGTCACGTGTCACGTGTCCCGTGTCCGTGCATCATTGTTGTCGAGTATCTCTTCGTTGGTAATGATTTTTTCGACGGAATTAGTGATTCGACGGACATTATTTCCGTAGAAAATTTTTGACGGAATATTTTTCGTGGAAAGTTTTGACGAAAAATGAATGAAATTCCGTAAAAAAATCTAATAATAAATTTCGACGAAAAATAAATTTCGTCTAAAATTTTCGACGAAAAATGAATGAAATTCCGTCGAAAAATCTTGTAATAATTTATGATGGAAAACAAATTCCGTCGAAAATTTTCAATGAAAAATAAATGAAATTCCGTTGAAAAATGATGTGATAATTTTCGAAGGAAAACAAATTCTATCAAAAAATTTCGACCAAAAAAGAATGAAATTCCGTCGAAAAATCCTTTAATAATTTTCGAAGGAAAATGAATGAAACTCCGTCAAAAATTATTCTATCAATTTTTGACGAAATTGCTTTTCCATTGAAATTTTATTTTTAATTTCTCTCTACAAAATTAATACAAATTTTATGTTTTGCACCTGATAAACAAATATAATGAAAGTTGAAATGATCTTAATATAATTATGTATACAAAAGTCTCTGTTATAAAAGTCTCTGTCATAAACTAATCGAAAGAGTCTTATATGTATAAATGTCCAAGACATATACTAATCAAAAAAGACATACATATACAAAAGTCTCTGTCATTTACTAATTAAAGAGACCTATATATTGCACTTTTCTAGACCAAAAATATACGGCATGTCATGAATGCCTTTTAGAGTTAAGTACAATGAATATAAAACATCTCACTTCAATATTATACATATCATTTTGCTAACTATGGAAACCACCAATGAATTTTACTTTATAGTAAATGTTAAAATGAAGCCCTTTAGAGTTACGATGAAATATGTCTATATTCAGGAACAATATAGGCTCCTACATACTTACAAGGAGAAATATTTGCTTTCTGCCAAGGGTTTCAAGAAAACCAGAATCAATATTTGCTTTCTTAATGACAGACAGTGCAAAAAGAACCTCCTCTGCTGCTACCTTTCTTGTCTTCGCTGCATCAAAGTAACACTTTCCTCCACTTCCTAAGCAAACTTAGAAATTAAAAATTAAATTAAATTACATAAATGACCAAGTTTTCATATTGAAAGGTGTTTGCGTTCTCAAGTCCAAAACATAAAACTAAAAAGGCCGCATTAAAGATTCAACCTTTAGCGTTTTCAACATTTTCAACAAAGCTTTGAAACGTTAATGACAACCCAAATGGCTACAAAGGAAAAGAGTATACCTTTTTGGGGTTCTCGTCTTCAACAAGAAATGGGGTTGAGGAAAGGTTGTCTCTTTCAATGTCATCAAGGGTTGCTCAGGTTCTAATGGCTCTACTTCTATGTCTGGAAAATAGGTAATGTTTTGTTCCTCTAAGGGGGCGTTTGGTACTGGAGAAATTTTTTTGTATCCTGGAATCACGATTACCGGGTATATAGTTGGAACAAAAATTGTCTGGGAATTTTACGAAAATGATGTTTGGTAGGATAAAATATTACTGGGAATATTAGTTAATTTTTGAGTATTGGTGTTTGGTTGAAAACAAAATATTGTTGGGAATATAATAAAATTTGACAAAAGTGCCTATGATTAACTGAAAATATAACAAAACAAAACGTAAAGAACGACCTGATGCATCATTGGTGACCTAATGTTCCACTTTATCAATCTGAGTTCTTCCATTTCGTGAAACCGCGATGTTATGATCAATTCTCCGTGTAAGTTTCGTTCAATGTTCCCATATTCTAAAGTTACTGTTGTGTCTTACCTTTGCAAGCATGTTGGAACAAAAAATGATAATTGTTCCGCTAACAGTGTCATTTTCTTTGCGCAGGGGAAAAGTTAATTACGTCGGACGAGTTGCATGTAGTTGGGGAGAAGGGTCAGGTATGTCCTTCAGTTTACTGCTTCAGTTATGTTAGTCATTATGGGAATTGTTTTCTAAAGTCTGAATCTTTGAGTTGTTATTGGGAAAGTGATGGCAGAATTAGAGAATGTATTGCTTTGGGGTGGTTTAATTTTTTAGATATGTGTTGCAGACATGGATGTAGGCCCTTTTTGTGTTATTTGGATGTATTATGAATTGTAAAAATTTGTGATTAACTAAGCTTTGGTAGTTTGGTGTAAGGCTTGATATATTAATTTTATTATAGGATTCATCAACAAGCACAATAAAGCTGAAACCATTTCCTTGATGTGTTTAGCTTGAATAGATATTTTTCATGGGAATATGCTTTGTCAAGGAAACCATTTGCAGTAGTTTTATTAATTCAATTTTTTTTATTTCATGTCTAGGAATTGGATATTTTTCTATCCTCCTAGTTGTGTTGGGTTATTTATGCTTCATTTTACATTATCAAGTGAACTTTATGTTGGGTTATTTATGTCCACAAATGAGGCTTTCGAAATACTTAGTAATGAATTCTCAAGTGAACTTTAGCTTTTGTCCATTCTGCTACAAGCCAAAGGAAAAATAAATAAAATTGCTTGGCTTAATTGTGTCAATTCTACACTTATCCAAAAACTATTCTTATTTGAACCTTCTGTCACACAATGATACCTTTCAAAGTATGACAATTAATAGTTTGGTATGTTACTGACTTGAACATTGGGCCCATTCATGAAAATTCTCTAAGTTGTGCCAAAATTTTGGAATTTAGACCACAATTGTTTGAGCTCAAGCACCTTAAAGCTCTGTCCTTCTTCAAACTCTTTGAATCACAACACAGGAATCAAGTTACTATCCCCAAGGGAAACTGGGAAAAACTGGCTGGCAGCTTAGAATCACTTGAGTTTAGATCAAACACAAGTCTCATTGGATTAATTCCTTCAAGTTTTGGAGTCCTCATGAACCCTCAGTCACTAGTATTATTAAAGAATGGTTTGACAGATGAGATTCCACCAGATATTGGCAACCTCAACAAGTTGAAGAAGCATGTTCTTGCTGTAAACTATTTTACTGGGAAGATTCCAGATGTTTTTAGTGCATTAACTGAGTTATTAATCTTTGATTTAAGTAGAAATTCTTGCAAGAAATATTGATGATGGTTCTATTCTTACTGCAAAGTTTATTTAATATTTAATCAAGAAGAGCTCAACTTAGGCTATAACTTTTTAGGTGTCACAACAACCTGTATTTTCTCTTTTGTATTTTGTTCTAAACATAAGGTGACTGTCTTTTCAATTTGTTAATTGTCCAATAAGGTAATTATCTTCACAGCTACTTCAGCTCACTTTTAATCATAAAACAAAATTTCTCAAAGTCTACGATTCTTTTTTTAGTTCATTTTAAACTGCAATAAAGAAAAAAGAAAAAAAAGGGAACACCAGAATAGACCCTTTGCCATGGTAAAGCAATAAACTATGAGGGTCCCACTACATATGTCACATAAAACCAGCCATGCCTAATGTCTCTTAAACAACTTTTGTAATCACAGAACTGCACAATTGAACATATGTGGAGCCGCATAAGAGTTGTTACGAAGAGAATCTTGGTGCGCAATTATTTTGTACTAAAATAATTGAACTTGTTATTGTCTTTCACTATTAAAGTAATATATTTTTATATTTATAATTTATTAAACTATAGCAGTATTAGAAAATGATTAAAATTTATTTTTAAGAATTGTGTGAGTGGTGATGCCAGTTCTGGTTGGAAATGGTAAAGAAACAAGAATGAAGATGAAGCAGAATGCAGAACCATTAATCAATGAAAATAGGAAATTTATATTGAATCGAAAAGAAAAAAAATAGATCAGTATACTGACTAGCAGGATTTCACAGAGGCAACTTGATTGACAGCAGTTCGAGAAGCAAAAGAAAAAGAACAGATGAGAGAATGAAGAAAGAACAAGACCTTGAACAAGTTAGTTTGATTTGAGTTTTTGTGACCTCTAATCTGATTTCTGGCTGGAATTTTTATTTAAAACTATTAAACTATTATAGTTAGTTCCAAGTAACACATATAAACAGAGTGTGACACCTCATACTGCATAAATTGCACACGATTTATATAACATATCAACCACATATACATACGGGTTTCACATTACATACATATATGTTTCCCAACAGAGTTTGTCATAGTATTTTAACCTACTTCAATTCACTACATTAACAAGGAACTGAACAAGCTGCTCTCTATACAGCAGCAACAGGCATACTTGACACTCTTCTTCGTGGTACTTCTTCTGCACAATTGAAACCTGAAACACAGACAAACGAATGCATCAAGTTTTAGGCATATGTCAATTTTGTGTTTAAACTACTCCTAAAGACCCTAACTAACCGAGGCTAGAACTATCATTATCAAAGCTATGATTTTTGCAGATTTTAAACCATTTTTTTGAATCAGACTTGAATATCATGTAAACCCATATCATAAGGCTTGTAACGTATCATATAGTTCTAACCTTAAGATAGTAAATCAAGTCTGCATCAGACATTTACATACATACTTACCTGATACAAAGTGACACTTAGGGAATGCTGCACATTGCAGTTGACATAACTGGTTTCACAACCTGCAATTGAGACAGATGCATTATTTTCTACTAAATGTTAAGTACGTCTACATATAAAATTGGCAGCAATACCTCATACTATGACAACAATGTACTGCCATTCATTTTGATGTATCATACTAACCTCATCCATACAGCACACATGTACAAGATGCACATTAT